GCTGCGCTGAGACCCGGGTGCAGGACAGAGCTCCATCCTCAGTGCTGCTTTTCTCGTTGATTGTGGAGGAGGCGGGGAAAGAGGAGGCTGAGTGAGGTAGAGGTGGGGGAGAAGGCAGATGGCTTTTTATTGTTAGCTGTGTGTGACCTCACCACGCCCTTCTGAAATACTGCAAATGGTCTGGGACCTGCCCTTGGCCGCCCCATCCCCACCTGTCACTAACTTTTCTCAGGGGTGTGAGCCGCTGGCCCAAGGTCTAAGGTCAGAAGAACTTGTTTAGGTCCTGAGACAATCATGTGAGTCACTTCTCAGTTTCCTGTTTATAGAATGGGGACGACTGTTTCTACCTGCTGTAATTTCGGCCTCTTTTAGCTCATTCTGAAAACCACTTCACCATCACAAGTGAGACTGTGTGCAGGAGACAAATGCTTGCGGCAGGCACAGAACGGCCGAGTCACCTTGGCAAAGGGCTTGGACCGCACAAGACCCCGGTTATCTCCCCTGTGAGGGCATCACCGGCCTGCCTGCATAGGCTTCTCCCACGGGTGTGGTTGACCGCAGTTGCCTTACAACCTGGTGTTACTATGGATGGTTATTCTCACATACGTGGTATAAAATATAATGGGCTAATAATGGTTGTTTTATAGGAATTATAATATTAGTGACAGTATTCTTACAGTTAGACAGGAGCAAGACACTCATAGGAGAATGGCCACAAATAAAGACAACATACTTTACATTTCCAAAAGCTACAGAAGGAATGTTGAAAGTTGTTACCATAAAAATAAGTGTTTGAGGAGATAGATTTGTCTACAATGTGATTTAAATACGCAACTTAGGCACGTGTCAAAACATCACGTGTAACCCACTAATGAGTATAATTTTTATGTTTGCATACATCAAAAAATATTCTACTTCCTTCTGTTGTTTTATTCCTCTCTGAATCCAGTGCTTCCCCAGATGCCAGGCACTCGGAAGGTACTCCTGGCTGGGTGACTCCCTTGTGCGTAGCTGTCCTCTGCACAAACCCAGCGGAGCTCAGCGGTGGGAGCGGCGCGGCTGCCCCTTCCTAGCCTGCATCAACCCCTCCGGCTGTGCCTCCTCCATCCCAGCGGGACTCCAGACAGGACATCAGGAATCCCGGCTCTTGCTTTCCAAATGCAGAAGAAAGTGAGTAGGCAGAAACACACAAAGGAAATAATTTCTCCCAGATGAAAGAAACAACCCAAGCAAGAGTTTAAAAGTGAGGAGAATAAAGCTATAAAAAAGTTATATAGAAGAAATCATTAGATGATTTTTTACAACCTTGGAGTAGGAACAGCCTTTAACTGTGACCCCCCAAATCCAAAATCCATAACAGAAAAGATTGATAAAATGGCAAAAAATAAGCAATCAAACAAGCAAAAACCTTCTTCATGGACACAAACGCCTTAAGGAAAGTCCAAAGACACAAGAAAAGTGGGAACAAAATACTTGCAACTCTTCTATCAGGGATAAACAGAGAAAGACCAACTATTCTGTAGAAACATGGGCAAAGATCATGAGGAGACCACCTACGATGAACAGAACTACCATGCCAAGATGCACACTCTCTTCCAGAAAGGGTGGCACACCACAGTCACATGGGCGCCATCTTTCCCCAGTAGTTTTTCAAATCCAAAGGCTGAATAACCTTCTATTAGCACAGCCATAAGGAAAGCGTACCCTCCCTCATTATGGAAGGTGAGTGGGGCTGACCTCACGGAGCACACTGGGCATCAAAATTACCGATGACCAGGGATTAAATCCAGATTTGTCCTATAGGCCAAACTGCTGAATACACTGCAGCAATGTGTGTAATAACCAAGGACTGGCGGTCACCCGAGTATCCACCAGTAGGGGACTGACATGAATAAACTACAGTACACTTACCTACTAGACTGTTATGCAGCTATTTTAAAAGACAATGAAGATGCTGCGGACGTAGCTCTGTGGCAGAGTGCTTGCCTAACATGTGCGAAGCCCTGGACTCAATCCTCAACCTGCCCCCCGACACGGACACACAAATTACTGACGCCACCGTCGTTGTATACACGTTCACAGAAGCATCACCAATGAGCCGAAGAGAGGAAACATTCGCCAGTGAGTGGGTGGATAAGCAAAGTGTGATTACCCATAAGTAAGTATTATTCAGCCATGAAAAGGAATGAAGCTCTGACACAACATGGACAATCCTCGAAAACACTGCACTAAGAGCGGCCAGCAAGTCACAGTATGCCACACATCACCTGATTCCACTGCTACAAAATGTCCCAAACAGGCAAGACCATAGCGGTGGGGAGGTGCATGGCAGTCCGGGGCTAAGGTGGGCAGTACTACAGGGTTTCAACACCTCTTTTTGCGGGTACGGAATGCTCTGAAATTAGTTTGTAGTGATGGCTGCATAGCTCAGTAAACACACAAAAATGTGGAACTGTGCACCTTAAGCAGATAAACTTCAGGGCATGCAACTTGTGTCTCATAATGCTCTTTGTCCTGGGGAGGCAGGCCCTGAGCAGATGAGGGACAGGAGGGACGGAGGACTTCTTCTTGTCCGTCTTTCTATCCTCGCTGGCTGTCAGACCACGTGACTATTTACCTATCCAGAAGTGAATTTCAAAATGCAAGGATCAAGCAGAATTAAAAAGAGATCTCCTTTAACTTGGGTAGAGGGATGAGAGGGAAGGAACTAAGCCCTACCTTGGAGTCACTGCCTTGATGGCTCAGTGGGCGGCAGGCCTGTGGCACAAGGGCAGCCCCAGAGAGGCCCCAGGGCCCATTCTTGGCCTGCAAGCCACCAGAGCCACTGGACTGGACCTGTGGAGAACCCCCACTGACCACACGGAGAACTCTCAACTGACCAGAGGAAGCTCTCTGCCCCCACCCCCACCTGGGCCTCCGTGAGACCCTAGAACCACCAGTCTGTCTCAGAGAGAGGCGGGAAATCCTCAAAAGTGACACCAGCCAGGGGGAACAAAAGCTTGAGAAAGAAGCTCCACCGGTGAACAGGGAGGGAAGGAAGAATTCCTCTTGTTCACAGAGCCTGAGGCTGGGCTCACACTCAGCTACGACAGGGCTCAGGCACGGGGTGGCCTCTCCCCAGCACGCTGAAGCAGTGAGCAACCATGAGGGACGATTCTTAGAGCCCTCTGCTGGGCCTCCTGGCACGCTTGGCTAGTTACCAGGTGCTATATACCAAGAAAGACCTCTATGGCCAAAGCAGGAAAATGCTTAAAGAAAGTCACAGCCAGACAGCGGCTTACGTTACTCAGAAAAGCCCTACACACACCCACGCCACGACTTGGTGGGTTCCCTCTGCAGAAGAAGCACCCTAACCGATAAGAGCAGAGAGTATTTCTGACCCAAATCTGAAACAAACTGGGTTCAATGCTCACTTGCAGATTTTGGTAAAGGCATTTTTATTTTTCAATCAATTTGCGCCTTTGTAAAATGGACATGCAGCAAGATGAGCTATGACTCTGCTCTGATTACCTTGAAAGAGGAAGGAAAGCCTTCAAATTCTCAGTATCAGTGTAATGAAATTGTTTATGGGAACATTCTACCATTGTTCTTAAGAAAAAATGCAACAGTTTAAGAACAGAGTGAGATCTGAAACTACAGCTGCTTGTCTGCAATGTATTTCTTTTATGCAAAACACTTTTCTATTTGAGCAAAACAGCATTCTATGATATATTAAATTAATGTGGTTCATTTGCATGGTATTGGCTTTATATTTTTATTTTAATTCAATTTGTAAAGGCTTTAGCTTTTATTGTGGTATGAGAACTACAAGCAAGAAGACTTATTCCTATTTCATGTTGGTAAAAATGTAAGAAAGACTAAAATAAAAATATTTTTTGTTAAGTAAAAGTCAAACATTTTTAAAACTGCAGGCCTTCTCAGGGGCTTTGCTTGTGATCCTTCAGAAAAGGGTCTGACAGGTTCAAAGCGCTTTTGTGTTTTTGAGGGACATCTAGGGAGTGGCGGCTGCTCTGCATGTCACAGCCCAGGGGACGTCTCCCCGAGGTCACAGAGCCAGTCTATGAACAGTGAAAGCTGGGATTCTTCCCTTCCTGGCTGGCCCATCTCCGGGCCCCAGGCAGCCTCTGTGGGTGCCAGGTCACAACTCTGGCTGGTTCCCAGCTCCTGGTCCTGTACTCAGGGTGATTTCACCCTGTGTCACGGAACTGTCAGCCACCGCATGTCCCACTGTCTAAGAAACTTCATGTACGAGAGCCCTGGGCTTGGGATGTGTCTGGGGAAGTTGTTGCAGGACACAGATGAGAATCAGAGAAAAGACGCCCTCCAAGCCCAGGCTGTCGGGGAGCGGGCCTAGGAACCCAGGCTGTGCCCCTTCCCACCCCGGCCTTGGGTCCACCCCTGGGGAGGGACGGGAGCCCTCTCATCCGCTCTAAGCAGCAGGTCTTCCAGGTAACGGCTGCCGTTGAGCAAACCTTTAGAACCCGCGCTGATGCAACTGCAGGGTAAGCGGTCCCCTTGCCTTACCGAATAATCAGCAAGGGAGAAAGAGCGATAATAATGGGACCGTCTGGGTTAAAACCGTGCAGCCAAACACCTCATGTGGGGCATGCTGGATCCTGATTTTAATGAACAAACTGAAAAAACCCTAACAGGACAGCCAGGCACATCTGGACACGGACTGGCTGCTGCGTAGCTAGCATTTAATAGTGGTAACAGCATGATGGCTAGTTTGGGGGCTGTTTAGAATTTTTAAGAGCTGAATCTTGATGTGTCTATAAACCACACCACCTGACGTCGGGGATTTGCTCTAAAATGACCCGGCGAGGGGGGAGATGGGAGCACATCATCCAAAGGGGACGATCCTGCCTGCGGCACCCGCCGGTCTTGGTTCCCCTCGTGGAAAGCAAGAGCCACAGCCCAGAGCGCCCGGACTTGGGCTCTGCACGCGCGGCCCGCAGCCCGGAGCTCCCTTCCCGCCCGCCCTGGTCCCTTCTACTCACAGTGTGCCTCCGGCGCCCGCGGCTCCGGCCCTCGCCCGCTCTGGCCCAGGCCTCTCATTACTCAGGGGGTTTATTATTAGCCTGAGATTTGATTAGTGCCTGGGCTGCGCTTCCTGGGTTTTCCCCTCGACCTGGAGGATGTAAATCAGCCGCCGCCCTCCCACCTCCACGCCTGCGCACTCAGCCCCAGGAGCCGGGCTGGGCCACGTGGGTGCGCGGGACCGGCCCCGCCAGCGCGGTCGCTGCCCGCACAGAGGGTCCCCCACTCCCACCCCGACCCTTGGCGGTGGAATAGATATCCTGGGGGGCCGGGTAGCTTCAGATGTCCCCTGGCCGGCCTCGGGGCCAGCCTCTCCTGCCCCACGGCGCGCCCCAAGCCAGGGCCGCTCTTGGAGTCCTCGCCCAGGACTCGCATGTCTCAGGCTCTTCCCCAGTCCTGAGCAAACTTCCCTGGTTTCGCTGCCTGGTCCTCTCCTCCCGCCCTTCTTCAAGGCTCGGTGGAGGCAGCACTGCCACCCAGAAGCCATCGCTGACGCTCCAGCCCGCCGGGTGCCCATTCTCTGCCCTTCTGTAGCCCTCTCCGCACGCCTGTCAGAGCACCCGAGAGGCTGAGGACTAGAGTCAAACCCGAGCCTGAGTCCTGAGTCTGCACTAGGCTTTGATGTCTGTTTACAGAGGTAATGTTCCGCACCTCCACGTTCTATTCTGGGAAATGGGTGTAGAACATTACCCGTCTCACAAGCCATTGTGGAAATGAAGGATTTGACGGTCACGTTCTTCGAGGAAGTCCATGGCACACTTGGTACTCCACAGACGACATCAAGGGTCAGCACCTGGCCCTTACTACCCTGTGCTGTAATTCGGCTCCTGGGCGTTCCGAGCCTTCTGAAACCGGCCAGGGGACAGAAACCCAGCAGGCACTCCCAGGTCCGCTGCAGCACTGTTCACAGTGGTCCAGATGCGGAACTGACCTGCCTGTCCACCGACAGATTCAGAGAGGGGACTGTGGCGCATGGCCACCATGGGATACTGTTCCGCCTTTGCAGGGAAGGAGACCCTGCCGTGTGCATCAGCGTGGACAGAGCCGGAGGACATTATGCTAAGTGAGACAGCCAGGGACAGAAAGGCAAAAACCCCACGTGTTCTGACTCATATGTGGAATCCACAGAACCTGATCTCAGAAGCGGCGGGTAGGATGGTGGCCTCAGAGGCCGGGGAAGGAGAGGTGCTGGCCAACAAGTACCAAGTTGGCTGGATGGAACGAGCCAGCAAGTTCTGGTGTCTTACTGCATAGCAGGGTGACTACAGTTAACAGTAGTGTATAGCTCAAAATATCTGCAAGGGGGCTGGGGGTGTAGCTCAGGGGTGGCTCGCTTGCCTGACATATGTGAGGTCCTAGGTTTGATCGTTGGCACCAAGCAGTGGGGTCTGGGGCTGTGTTTCGTTCATCAGTTGGCAGCGTTTTAGAATTTGATCCTATCAAGTACTGGAGGTGATCCACAGAAAGTGAATCGACTTCCCATTGAAGGGTGTAATTCGGCAGCACCGCTTTGGAGGGGAGGCAGCCGGGCCCATTAAAATGTAGACCGTACACCTACCTCCCCCGGGCCCCAGAAATTCTCCATCTCTGAAGCCTTGCTGTTGACGGTGGGAGGCCGGGAACAGTCTAAATGTCCGTCCACAGAGTATGGCTGGTAAGAGGGGCAGAGGCCACGAAGAGCAGGACCCCCAGCAACTGGAGTAACAGGGACCAACAAGCTCACCAGGGCAGGTTGTAGAGTGAGAGACGTAGTTTACAGCGTGGTACTTTACTGTTGGTAAAACAAAAGGAAATGGCAGGCACACCTGCACGCCCGCTCTGTGCCGCCAGCATCACAGGCCTGGCATGACGTGCCGAGAAGTCTGAGGCACGTGCGTCACTACACTGGCTTCTCCCGGCGCTGCAGAGCGAGGGGCGGTGTTCCAAGAGGAACACCACTCTTAGTCCTATGCGGGAGACTTTCATCATCAGTAAAAGGTAACAAAACCACTGCTGGGTTTTGAAGGAGGTGGCCAATAGGCTCCATTACCAGGGACAGTTGCTTGTCGAAAGGGCGAGCCCAGTGTGACTTCTGAATGCCTGTACTGTGTGCCCCTGCTTTCCGGATGGGGCTTTATTCCTTCACAGGCATCTGACCCCTAATGTTGGCTCAGTCAGAAACTCCTATCCACCCATTGAGCTGTCTGTGCCTTCCAGAAATGGAACTGAGCCAGGCGTGGTTGCACACGCCTGTAATCCCAGCACTCGGGAGGCTGAGGCAGGAGGATCACCATGAGGTCAAGGCCAACCTCGGCTACGAAGTGAGTCTGAGGCCAGCCTGAGTTGCACAATGAAACCCTGACTCAAAAAGACAAAAAAATAAAACGAAACAGAAATGGAACTGGCCTCAGCCAGCCGGGTGCTGCTGTGCAGAGCCACACCTGTCCTGTCACACTGAGTGCTTCAGGGTTTCAAAGCCAGCATGTGCTCTGCCTTAAACGAGAACAGGCAGACCCAGTCGGGCCTGATGCTGGGACACTGGGAGTTGAAGGAAACAGGTCCTGCTCTCTCACTACTGATCACTTTTTTGATGCCTTTGTCGGCAAGAGCTTCCTCCAACAGCACTGCAGGTTTGAGTCTCATTCTTCACTTTCCAAACCTCATTCTGAAACCAGCCCTCGCTGAGCCATCCCCCAGGGGCAGGCGGGTTTCTAATTATAAGCGCCACAGGCAAGGGGACAGGTGAGTGTTAGAACACCAGAGCTGAGGAGCTGGTCACTTACGTATATAAAATTAAACAGTTAGAATGCACATGTGATAAAGGAAAAATTCAAAAAGTGTAAAAGGAAATACAGTGAAAAGCAAATTTCTCTCTCATCCAGATACTTTAGACCCACCATTTCCAGCCTTCCAGGCCAGGCCCTGGCGTTCAGGTGCATGTGTGTGTCACTGGATAATAAATTTCCCCTCTTTTCCCCCATCCTCTCCCTGCACAACTGTTTTACACAATTGCTGGCTAATACAGATTAATCACACTGACTATTTTGCATAAGTTTTTTTCATTCACTATATCTTGGCATTTAGGCCAGATCTTTTTTTTTTTTTTCTTTTTTTTGTCTTTTTGAGACAGGGTCTCCCTACACAGTTCAGGCTGGCCTTGATCTCACTTTGTAGCCCAGGCTGGCCTCAAACTCGCAACGATCCTCCTGCCTCAGCCTCCTGAGAGCTGGGATTACAGGTATGTGCCACCATGCCCAGTTTAGAAATACTCGTTGCTAGTATATTTTAGTTTTTTTTTTTTGGTACCAGGAATTGAACTCAGGACCTCATGCTTGCCAGGCAGGCACTGTGCCACTGAGCTATATCTCCAGCCCTGGGCCAGATCATTTTTAACATCTTATCTTAAACTGCTCATTTGGGCCAGGCATGTGGTGCACACCAGCACTCGGGAAGATGAAGAGGGAAAATCACAAGTCTGAAGGTAGCCTGGGTAAATGAGTGACTTAGTGAGACCCTGATTCAAAATAAAAAATAAAAAAAAGGCTGGGAATATAGCTCAGCGCAGAAGTCTTGAGTTCAAGCCCTCATACCATAAATTAACAATAATAATTTAAAAAATAATAAATAAATAAAACGTTCACTAGGAGTCACGATAATAGGAAGAATTTGTACAGTACTCACTATGTTCCAAGCTTTTATCTATATCTGCTGATTTGATATACGTTTTACTTTCTTCACGTCTCTTTGAAGGGCCTGAGTTGTGTAAGTGGAACTGTTTAACCAAAGACATGGACAGTGACATTGTCTCACAGCACACTGGGTGTGACAGTACTGTCATCCCGAAGACCCGGGGGCCGGGCCAGGCCCCTTCGACTGAGCCATGCTGTGTAGCTTCTCTGAGTCACTTCTGGAGGTCGGAGAAAAACAAGAGTATCCAAAATAGGATATTTCTAGACTGTTCAGAGTGCAGTGAAAGCCCTCATTTTCATTACTGCGATTTACATAGACCACTCAGAAGTGCTGGATTTGCTGTGCTGCTAACCTAGCTGCTCCTTCCATTGGCCCCCATTTCTCAGAAATGCCAGATGCCATTATTTTAGCAAAACTCAATTCAAAGAAGGAAACAGTAGTTTCTTTATAATGAGAGCCCTTAACCTTCTGTGGAAAGACTTAGGTACTCTTTTTATTTTAAAAAATTTCCCTTAACTTTTTTTTTTCTGTACTGGGGATTGAACCCAGGACCTTTGCCCTGACCTACCTCCCCAGCTCTTTTTAAAAAATATTGTATTTTGAGATAGGGTCTTACTAAGTCGCTAATTTACCCAAGCTTGGCTCAAACTTAGGGTCCTTCTGCCTCAGCTTTGCAGAGTGCTGGGATTACACATATGTAGTTCTACCCACACTCCTCATCACTTTTTATTGTGAAATAATTAAAAAACAAGAGCCATCTTAAAAGGGAAACATAATGAATGCCCATGACACCTCCCCTGGCTCAGCAATTCTTCACATTCGAGGGTCTCTCTGTCCACATCTGCCTCCGTCTGTATCAAGCCCCCTTCCCGTGGGAGCTCTGAAAGCAATGTGCACGTTATGACACAACATTGCTACGCGCTTTCGCAGACACCTGTCTACGAAAACGTGGACGTTCCAGGCTGGGAGCATGGTTCAGCCGCAGAGGACTGGGTCTGCACACACAAGGTCCCAGGCGCCATCCTCACACTGAGAAATTAAAAAGAAAGATATTTTCTTTCCTTCTTTCCTTCTTTCCTTCTTTCTTTCTTTCTTTCTTTCTTTCTTTCTTTCTTTCTTTCTTTCTTTCTTTCTTCTTCTTTCTTTTTGTACAGGGAATTGAACACAGGACCTTGCACTTGCCAGGCAGGCTCTGTGCCACTGAGCTATATCCCTGCCCTGAAAAATATTTTATGTTATATACCATCATTTTCACACCCAGAGCAGCCACCAGTTAATTGTTCACTAGCATCATCTAATATCTAGTCCACATGCAGTTATTTCTAATTATTCCCAGGAGTTTTTCTTGCTGTCTTCTTTTGAGTCAGAATCCAACCGAGGGTCACATTTTGTATTTTTCTGCTATTTCTCCTTTGTTTTTTGTTTGTTTGTTTGTCTAGTGTAGATCCCTGCCT